ATCCTTTTTGAATGCAGCAAGTAAAGGTACCTCTGCACCTACTCTTATAGGCCATTCCAAAAGAATGGACCGCTCACAGAGAACACCTGTAACTTAACTATTGCTATATTTATGCTTTTAGGTAAAGGTACCACAAGGTGAGGAACATTAATGGCACATGGGAATATATATGTATACTGCCTGAGAGCCAGTTTGGTATAGTGGTTAAGTGTGCGGACTCTAATGTGGGAGAACCGGATTTGATTCCCCACTCCTCCACTTGCAGCTGCTGGATGACCTTGGGCAAGCCATAGTTCTGTCAGAGGTGTTCTTGAGAGAGCAGATCTTTCAGAGCTCTCTCAGCCCCACTCACCTCACAGGGTGTCTGTTGTGAGGAGGGGAAGGGAAAGAAGTTTGTAGGCCACTCTTGAGACTCTGAGTGAAGGGCGTGGTATAAATCCAATCACTTCACTTCTGTGTTGATACATCTTGTAGCTATAGGGTTTGGGGCGGGGGTGCTTATCAGTCCAGTTGAAATGTGCAAGGTGCCAAGAAAAATTCCAGTGTTTCTATATATATTTTTTCTTCAGTGGAAACCCAAAGTGGCTTACAACACTGTTCTCACCTTCTCCATCTCTTCCCTGCAACAATAGTTGTGTGAGATAGATTAGGCTGAGAGAGGGACTGGCCCAAGCTTGCCCAGCAACCTTCTAAGGCAGAATGGAGATTCAAACCCGGATATTCCAGTATTATATAAATATTTTACAAAATGATAACACCCAGTGACATTTACAATTTCAATAAATATTTCATTACAGTGTATTAATTGGGAGAAAACAGCATTATTTTTATTCTTCAACATTTAATTTCTGATTTAGGATCTTGAAGAATTGGATCCAGATTTCATTATGGCAAAACAGGTTGAACAGCTGGAGAAAGAAAAAAAGGAACTTCAAGAGCGTCTGAAGAATCAGGAGAAAAAGGTATTTTTAAAAAGACTATTTAAAAAGGTATTTTTAAAAAGGTTAAGAAGATGCGGAAAAGATATTTTTTTTGTTTCTTTACATTTCAGCCTGAGTAATGTAATACTATGCTTTTGTTTAGATTGACTATTTTGAAAGAGCAAAGCGTTTAGAAGAAATCCCCCTAATTAAGAGTGCCTATGAAGAACAAAGAGTCAGAGATATGGAGCTTTGGGAGCAGCAAGAAGAAGAGAGGGTGAGGTTTTGAAGGAAGAGTCTTTGGTTTGAGAAGCAAGTTGCGGTTAATGTGTTCTCTCTGTTGGTCTGAATAAATGAGACTATCAGTGTATAACAATTTTATTTGTCCCACTGGTCAGCCTTATTATTAGAATTTTTTGTTTCAAGTATTGATGACAAAATTTTGAACTGTGAAGAGTGAATGACTTCTGCATATATTGAGTTGATCCTATGAATCCATTCCCTTAGTAGCAACACTTTTTTGGCGCAAGGAGCTTTCCACCCAGTCATGATTTTTATTTGCTGGCAGAAGACTCCTTGCACCATGGAAAAAAGAACCCCGTTAATGGAGCAGATCCATGCCAATATATTCAGACAATCTCAATCTCTGTTTGATTTCCAAATTGTGTCATTTTAATGCTTTGCAGTATTCATGGTTGGGCAGTCTTGGATTTTATTTACTTTAAAACTGGAAGCCGCTATTTTCACTGTAACAGATGTGATCTAAATACATCTATAGCCTTAGCATATAGAAAATGAATTCGTATGTAATACTAGGCTTCTCTGGTATGTTGTTCCAAAGTGCAACTGGTCACTAATTTCTAAATGAGGTAGGGGAAAGAGGCCTATGGAACCAGGAAAGGTACAAATGATGTTTTGGATAAGTCATATTTTAGTGTAACTGGCTTTGTTTTGCATATGTTACAGATTACAACCATGCAGTTGGAGCGTGAAAAGGCCCTTGAGCATAAAGGCAGACTGTCAAGGATGCTGGAGGAGAGAGATTTATTTGAAGCTAGGCTCAAGGCAGCAAGGAAATCTGTTTATGAGGTAAATCTACAGCCCATGTTTGAGATTGCAGTTTGAGATGATGAATTGAGTTTTTCTAGAAGACTGAGTGAGGTGGTATGGAGCCTCCCTCCCTTTCTTCTGTTATGTTTGTGTTGTGCGTATTCCAAGAGCATCAGCAGAGAGGATGTGGGAGGTGTCTGATATACAAACTGTTTGTTTTGCTAATAGTTTTACTAATAGTATAATACTATTATACTAATAGTATAATAGTTAATTAGCTCTTCCTAAGGATTCAGGGTAGAATTAATGGGGTTATTTTACTTTTTTAAATTTACTTTAATCTGCCTTTCTCATGGAGACTCAAGGCAGGTTACATAGTATAAGTCAGTGCAGTCAGTAGGATGAGACATTTAATAAGCATCATAATAGGATTAGGATAACAGAATCTGGTACAAAGCATAAAGTATTAGACATATGTTACACAGTGCAGAACATGGTGTTCTCTAAGTATAAAACAATGCAGTGAGAGCGGGATAAAATACTGCTGAACACAGCAGTATAGTTCACAGTCCTGTTTTCTCTTCAGAAATGCCAGGCAGTTGCTTCTGAACTCTTAAAATCATAATGTTTTATAACTATGCTCTCAGGAGGAGTGAGACTTGCACTGCTGCTGTGTTCATAAAGATGTAAAATTTCTGGACATTTTGAAGTAATGGGAAACAACTGTTCTCCCTTCCCCTTGGAAAAAAAACGAACTTTGAGAAAAATTGAAATTTATTCATTAATATATGGAATACCTACTGTCCTGTCAAACCAAAACTAATTTTACTACTTTAACAACGTAAAATGCATCATTGATAACTTAGCATATAGATTTGTAACATTTAAAATGTTTATGGAATTTCAAAGTTACAAATTCCATCGTTTTCTACAATCAAAATCGCAAATGTACCAGTTACTTGAGAGAAAACTGGGCAAGGGCCTTTCAAGACAAGTGAGAAGTAGATGTGATTTGCCATTGCCTTCCTCTGCAGAGTTGTCTGCAGCGATCTCCCGTCCAAGTACTGAACCTGCTTAGCTTCTGAGATCTGACAAGGTCAGGCTATGCCATGCTGCTTTCCCTCCCTTGGAGTATTAGGGATGATCCAATTTTCAACACGAATGAGTTTGCCAGGTGAAGTTGCCATAATGGATGGTGGCATTTCTGGTGAGCCTATCCCAGAATTAAAGATATAAAATATATGCACAGGCTCGTAGCTACAGTGGGGCATTTTGGGGCCCTGCCCCTTAATTAAAAGCCATGCCCCCAAAATAGCCATGCCAGAAATCTTATTTTTGAGGAGACACCCCCTGCTGCTGACAGCAGCCTGGGTGAGAGCACCGTGGCTTGCCCTCGGGCTTTCCTCCCCCTCCCACTGTGGAATGGGGGGGGCATCATGAGCAATGCTCCCTCTAAGCTGTGGAGTCTTGTGAGCAAAAATTCTACTTTATGAGCTACTGGCATTAAAGCGATTTGGCTACTGCATAAATTAGTTTGCTCTGGAACCATCCCTCCCGAGCTAAGATAAAAATGTGTGAGCCGGAAGCTAAAAAACTGTGAGCTAGCTCACATCAATTCAGCTTAGAGGGAACACTGATCATGAGCCGTGGGAAAAGACAGCTCAGAGGGATTGTTGGAGATGCATTGAAGGTATCATTTTTTAGTGCCCCTGTAAGCTTTCTTGCCCTGTGGAAGGGAATTCAAAGGGCATTTAAATGCCCTCTAAGCCATTTTTTCTTAGGAACGGATGCGCTCGCTGCCCTGCCCCTTGAAAGGAAGGGTTAGAAACAGGCTCAGAGCCTCCCCCTTTAAAGACAGGCATTCAGATTAATTTAATTAACTGTAATTTAACTGCCCGCTTAAAAGTTTAAATACCCCCCGAACAAAAAAATTCTGCCTACAGATCAGTGTATGTGATACTTCCTGTCCTATGAAACCTAAACTGATTTTACTGCTTTAACAACGTAACATGCATAATCTATAATTTAGCTTATAAAATTGCGATATTTGACATATTGATTGAATTTAAAAGTTACAAATGCCGTAGTTTTCTACAATCAAAATTGCACATGTAGCCACTATTTGAGAGGAAACTGCAAACTCATGCACCCTATGCTACCTTAGAACGTGAACCTTAGTTCCAGCTAGGTACCCTTCCCTCTTTGGCTACTATTCAGAGAGAGTTCAGTTCTTAACTCAGTGTTTTCCTCTGAGGCTTTGGTCCAGTTCCCCCCCCCCCCACTTCATTTTGATTTTTTCGCCTCCTGCAAGGTAGGGCAATAAGCTATGTGCCTGAGTGGTTTGTGGGAGAAATGAAAAGGTCAACCACAAGGGGAGAGTCCAGTCAAAAGGACAACAGAAGGCATTCAAAAGTCGAGAAGCAATGAAAGCCCTACATGCTCTCCTCGTGAAGATTAGGTATCTTTCTGGGTGCAGAAAATGCATCTTGGGTTTAAGAGCTTTATATATCTACAGCAAGGCCACCTTGTCTTTAAAAGCATTTCATTCTAAAAGAGAATTTTTTTCAGTACTCCCCCAAATTTCCTATTTTTCCATTAGAAAAATTGAAAAAAGGTATTTCCCCCCAATTTTTCTATTCCCCCTCCCCCCGGGCCTTCACATCTATAGGTGTTAACAGCTGAAAAAGTAAATCTTTTGGGGTTGCTGTGGTTCTTTTAATGCAGGATGGTAACCTAGAAAACAAGTACCTTCTTCCTCTTGTGCAGTGGTAAAAATTTAGCACTGATTTGTGAACAAGATCGTATGTGCAATTAATAAAATTGTTCATTACATACAAAAACTTTAGAATAATAGTTCTGTTGTATGTTAGCAAAGTATTCCTCTGTGATTTGATTCATATCGTACCCTCCGGTGTGGGTTGGTAACAGCTTACAGAGTACAAACAGCTTACAAGTATCCAAGATAGTGTCAGATTGAAGAGGTAAAATTAGCCCAGATAAAAAGGACTAATAACACTTCTGGGCAAAGCTCTGGCTTAAGTGAGACTGAAGACTAAATTACATGTAACACTAGTTAGGAAGTATATGCAGTTGTAGTTCCATGTACCAGTGCTTACTATGCAGTAATGAATTGCGTTAGAGGATATCCATGCAGTGCTCAGTCTCTGCCACGGTTATGCAGTGATGGCATATACAGTTGCCGTGTGATTTGGAGGCTCTACATCAATAGTACTCATTCTACTTCTTGTGGAGAGCCACATTTGTAATTGTGTTGCTGGTTTTTTTTGTCATCATGTCACACCTGACTTCTGGTGACCCAATAGGTTTTTCAAAGCAAGAGAAGTTCAGAGGTGCTTTGCCATTGCCTGCTTCTGTGTCATGACCTTGGTCACCCACCCAAATACTAGCCGTGGCCAACCGTGCTTAGCTTCCCAGATCTGACATGGGATCAGGCTAGTCTGGGCTATCCAGGTCATGGCACATTTGTGACACCATCAACCAAAAGAGCCCAATTAATTTGGATTCTTGGCATGATGCCTGCACCTCAGGGAGGCTTGCAGCTTACCTGTTCCTCTGATGGTGGCTATTTCAAGATGGAAGCCATCTGTCAGCCACAAACCCCACCAGGCCAGGGCCTTGCCCACATTCCTGAAGAATGGGACCAGTGGCACATTGAAGTACAATGCTCAGAAGAGCCACAGGTGGTATGTCAAAGAGCCACATATGGCTCCCAGTCCACTGATTGCATATCAGCACTCTGTGTGATAACCCTTGGGCTGAGTGGCTTCTACAAAGAGAGAGGTTCCTCTCCCTCAGCTGCTGCCACTTGGATGGAACAAATAGGTTAAAGGTGTTGCATGCGGTGGATAGGATATTTTCAAGGAGATCTTTATTTGTTGTCTCATTTTGTGGTTAGACAATGTCAGTAAGGAAAATTCTTGCTTGTAGATGTATGTGCTGTCAGAAGACATATCCAGTAAAAAAGTTTCTTCTTTCTCTGTTTTTTTCCAGAGTGCTGGGTGACTTTCATTAGCTAAATCTTCCAGCTAAGGAGTCACCAAGAATTCTGTCACTGCTAATTCAAAATGCTAATAGTAGTGAGGCCCATTAGAATTATGAGATGGGTACATAAATAATTTAAGAACATGAAAAAGTTTCTTTTTAGGTTTAAATTTTTAGGTTTAAAAGCTAGAAAGTAAATATTATCATACATACTACCACGCAAGATTTCTGCTTATAAACCTGGCACGTAGTTGCTCAGTGTAGAGAGACTCATCTGTAGCATGTAACCATGGTTGTTTGCTTTACAGCCTACTAGACTGTTTCTGTCGTGTTGCAAGAACACTGGGCTAATTGGTACAGGTGGCTAGATGCAGCCAAAACTAGAACGACCCCATGTAGTTAAAAGGCCCATGTTTGACCAATAGTCTATGCATTGCTTGTATGATTCCCAGAATTCTAGGGTTATATGCTGATATCTGTCTTTATAGATGCATTTACACCTATAAAATATTTTTTCAGGAAAAACTTAAACAATTTCAAGAAAGACTAGCAGAGGAAAGGCATAACCGTTTGGCGGAACGGAAGAGACAGCGCAAAGAGGAAAGACGTATTACTTATTACCAAGAGAAGGAGGAAGAAGAACAAAGACTGAAAGAGGAGAAGATGCTTAAAGGTAAACACCGACAAGCTGTAGCCAAAAAAAGTTATGTTTTCTCATAGTGATAGTGTTGCTTGTCTGGATAGGGATGTTCTGCAGTTGCTACTTGTGAAACAGAATTTACCACTTGTAAAAATCATATCAAATTTTACATGTATGACATGTTATCTGTATAAAAGTCTGGATCCTAACCTCTTCTGCAAGAGGAATGGTATTTGTTCGAATACAATCCAGAGTCAGCAGCTGTAGAGAAGTGGTAGACATATCACTGGTGATATCAGTAATGAAGAAGAGTTACCTGCATCGTTGTCTTGGCAGAACAAGAAGAGAAAGAACGTGTTGAACGTGAAAAACGTGAGCAAGAAATGCTTGAATATCAGGAACGAGTCAGAAAACTAGAAGAAGTGGAGAGGAAGAAACGCCAAAGAGAACTGGAGATTGAAGAGAGGGAGCGTCGTCGAGAGGAAGAGAGGAGAAATCTTGAAGATCCACTTTCAAGAAAGGTAAATGTTGTTTCTAGTAAACTGAACCCTTTTAACTATTTAGACACCTTTGGCTGTGCAGTAGAAAAATGACATAAAATAAAGAATATAAATTAAGAACTCTCCCAGTTTAAGGGCTGAAATTTAAAATAGGATGAAAACAATAAAGCATAGTGTCTGTGCAGGTAATTTTTGTAAAAGTATAAACAGAAGCAGTTCTATATGTAAATAAGTATTTTTGGTTTTGTTAAATGTAGGAGTCTCGATGGGGAGACAGAGAGTCTGAAAGTACTTGGAGAAGAAGTACTGAGCCAGAGTCAGAATGGAGACGTCCAGCACCAGAAAGGTATCTATAGGAATAATGTTTAAACAGTTTACAAATTGTAGATATATCTCTTATGATTCTGTAATAATATGAAAGACTGAATAATGCTGAATGCAACAGATACAGACGTCCCTTTGGGTAAAAAAATTCCTCAGTTGACAATGTGTGCTTGTTCAGTAGTTATCACTGTTACAGGTTGCAAAAATTCTTGCGGTGTGTGTAGGGGTACAGTTTCTTCTATATTCACTTTTTTTACAATTATGATCATGACAGTGATCAATGATATTGAATGATAGACTGCATTTAGTGGTTACAATGCTTTCAAGTCAAGCCACATGTCTGTCATAGACTTTTTCTGTCCTGGGCTTTGAGGACTAGAATATGTTTGGGTATGTCTTTTTCTTCTACCTTGCCTTCTGTCTTTTGTTTTCTTTTGTATTTTAAAGTATGCCATTTAATAACTTATATTTTTCCATTTTTCAAAAATCTCAAAGTGGCTAGAATGAGTGATGCCTGAGACCTATTAAATCAAATTCTACGACTTATGATCTTGATACCTTACAATTTTCACTGACGTAATTATCCAGTTACATTAAAATACAGGGACAAAAATAAGAAGTAGTTGGAAATTAAATGCAGGGGAAGAGAGACATATTGAAACATTGCTATGTCTTTTATATTAATATGGACATGAGCAAAATTGCTGAAGAGGATGCTTCTGTTGGGGCTTTCTGTGTGTATGTTGTGGGGGAACAAGTTCCTGTGTTCTCACGGCCTACTGGGACCCAAAAAGCTGTTCAGGATACGTCGTGGACCCTCCTCAGATACTTGGAGCTATTGTGAGCTGTGGTAATACTTGGCGCTACCTATGAGATTCCTTTAAAAACATAGCTGAAATCCTCACAACTCCTTCCCATAATGTACTAAAAAGGCAAACAAAGTTGTCCTCTGTGGTGATTAAATGTGTCTATTTCTGCATGTGTGATTTGAAACTGATTGGTTCTTCCTTCCCAACATGCTTGTGTGTACATGCAGCAAAATAGATGCATCTGCTTCCTGGCCTTCTATCTCAGACTTGGCAAGTCTTTAGAGATCAAGGGATTGGCTCCAGAGGAGGATTTCTGCAAATGGGGATGGGTGATTTTTTATTCTTCTTTCCCACAGTGGACCTCTAACAATCCTTACATGCTGTCCCTGGAGGTCCATATCTTCCCAGCAAGTCATGCTTAGGAAATCTGCTATAAAATGATAAAGATTCCCCAACCTGAACTGCTCTATTCCAGTTGTAAGATGTGAGTGGGCCTTAGTGTTTGTGTATTAGGTAGTTTTGATATTATAAACTTTGTCTCCTTTTTGTTTAAAGTAATGGGGTAGGGAAACCATTAAAATGTTCAAATTAGACAGTGCTGCTGTGTTGAAACAATATACCAAGTAACTTTTAGACCACTGAAAACAAAACTTCTTTTGCATATACAATTTTCTTGTGCTTATTCAGAGAGTGGCGTCGTGGGGAAGCACGTGATGAAGAAAAACCTTTCAGGAAAGACGAAGCAACTCTACGTGGCACTCCAGAAGAAAGGGCATCATCCCCCACTGAAGCACCAGAAGAAAAAGTCCTGAAGCATGATCCGGATGAAGAAAAAGGTCCTAAGAGAGCCCTGGATGATGACAAACCTAGTTGGCGCTCCATGGGTGATGACCGCGGCCCGAGGCGGGGGCTGGATGATGACCGGGGCCCGAGGCGGGGGCTGGATGATGACCGGGGCCCAAGGCGGGGGCTGGATGATGACCGGGGCCCAAGGCGGGGGCTGGATGATGACCGGGGCCCGAGGCGGGGGCTGGATGATGACCGAGCAAGTTGGCGCAGCGCAGATGATGAGAAGGGCCCCAGGCGGGGGATGGATGATGACTGGGCCCCCAGGCGGGGGCTGGATGATGACCGGGCCCCCAGGCGGGGGATGGATGATGACTGGGGCCCCAGGCGGGGGCTGGATGATGACCGGGGCCCCAGGCGGGGGCTGGATGATGACCGGCCTAGTTGGCGCAACACTGATGAGGACAGGGCCCCCAGGCGGGGGCTGGATGAGGACAGGGGCCCCAGGCGGGGGCTGGATGAGGACAGAATTTCAAGACGTGATGAAGATAGGGGACCATGGCGTAATGTAGATGAGGATAGAATTTCAAGACGTGATGATGATCGTGGACCCAGGCGTGCTGGTGATGATGACAGAGGTCCTAGACGTGCAGACGATTCTAGACGTGGAGATGATTCCAGATCTGGACCTTGGAGACCATTTGGTAAACCAGGTAAACTTGAATGCTTTTGTTGCTGGTTTCCTCTCCTGTTCAGGTTACTGTATACTTTGTTTAGTAATGTTTGCATTCACTGTTGCACCACAGAAATATAGGGATTATTTTATGAGAGATGACTGAATCCATGTAATGAAAACTGTATAGGAAACTAAAGGATATGCTTATTGAAGGTGAGAACCAAAAATGATCCGTGGATAGTTTTTTCCATTTGTTCCTTACATTGTTGGTGCTGTAACGTAACATACCCTAATGGTACTTTTTTTTGGCACTCTTACCTAGACTCATTTAGACATAGTTTTAAAATTGTATTGTTGTTGTTTGTTTGTTTTAAAAAATAATCCTATCTTTTCTTCTCATACTATATGGCAGCCAACAACATATAAAAACATGACCAATTAAAATATGACAAACCAATATCAGTACAGGAAGAGTATAGCCCACATGTATACATTAAAATCCATATATAATCCCATTGTCTGTTGGGAAATGTCTATTGAAGTAGTACTGTTAACTGCTCCTCTAAAAGCCTGCAGTGAGTTTCAGTATTTAGTTCAGTCCACGAGGACTGAGAAGGCTGGGGGTGGAGTGGTGGTGTGAAGCATTAGTGGTGTGTGAGGGGAAAAAAAGTGTTTTTGTTTTTTTTTTAATTGGGTATATTCGACCTGAAAAATATCAGTATTTCCCAATATTGCCCTATCCCAATACTGGTATGGTATTCAGATTCAGTAAATATTCGGGAATCCCAAATTTATTCAGGTCCATTATACCCTATGGGGACCATTGAAGTCAGTAGTAAATCTCCTGGGGTATATTCCGTGGTCGGGGAGAGGGGGTGAGCTAGAGGCACCGGTGTAGCTGCTGGAGCCTCTCCTCAAAAGAACCCCCAAGTTTAAATTCTATGGACACCCAAAGACGTTGCCCCCATCCTACATTGTTTCCAGTGGGGGAAAATAGCAAGGCAATACAAACCCAGCAGAACGTCCCAGAGAATAATAGAAAGTGAAGTGTGTATGGGGGGGGGGAACTGAGGATCTCTGAAGTAGAAACGGGGGGGGGGGATTTCTACAAGGACAGCCGAACCAGTGCAGTGTACTAATGCCCAGCAGCAGAACCCAGTGCCATTGTGGCAAATGCCAGCACAACAGGACTGATCTCAAGCACAGAATCACAGAAGCACAGAATCACAATCCCAGGGAGGAGGGGTTACAAGGACAGCAGAACCAGTGTAATAGTACCCAGCAGCACAACCCAAAGGGAACCAAGAACGGCCTGAGACTCTCGTCCTCACCCCCCCCCCTTCAACCACCAGGCCCAAACAAGTGACAAAAAAGTGCAAACCACAAAACCAAAAGAAACTAAAACCTAACCAAAGAGAACAAAACAAAACAAAAACCCGAGGCCCTTGGCCTGACCCCTCCCCCAACCTACCACTCACCAAACCTGAAGAACAACTAACAGTAAAATAAGAAAACTTTTTAAAAAATGTTGTACTATCAAATCAGTCACTGTCTTTAGTTTTCTCCAGGCAGGCAGGATCTGATCTGACATCCACAACAGAGTTTCTCAGGCAGCAGGAGTCAAGCTCAGCAGCAGCTGGAGCCAAAGCCAGCCACACACACTCCAAACCTCTCGCAGCAATGGACTCTAGGCTCAGCCAGACCCTTGCTTTTATGCTCTTTGTTCATACACAGAAGAATTTCAAAAAAGAGCAGACTTCTGTGATTGGCGAAAGAGCAGTGTTTCCCCCTAACCTGAAATCCTGTTTGCCAACACTGCTCCTTCTGCCCTCCCTCCTGTTTACTGGGAAATGGGTGGGGGAAGCAAGGTAGTTAGCTGGACTTAACATTTGAAGCCAGCAACAACCTTGCAAACCTGCAGTGCAATGCCATTTGCAAATGCATTGCAGTGATTGGCTCTAAGGCACTACAGCTCCCCCAATGTGCTTTTGCCATTGGGCTGCTGAGTTACCTCTTCCCCCTTACTCCTGTTGCCCTGTAAATCAGAGCAAAAGGTGGGAAAGAGCTCTAGAGGAGAGAAGTGACAGGTAACTTTGTAGCTCTTTAAAGTTTAAACCTCTCCAGCAGCAGCAATTAGATAAAGCCGAATAAAAGCTGAATAATTTCTGCTTTTTCGGTATCATCTATATCGGTAGCTGAATCAGATTCTGTACTCTGTATTTAGTTTAGAAAATACCTGAAAAATACCGCTAAGATATTTCTTGGGTATTTATTCTTCTCGGTTTATACCGAATGCCACACCCCTATGAGGCATGCCACCCTCATGGAAGGCACAGTCATTCAGATATATGGGCGTCCAGGTGGTTGTGATTCAATGTATAATCTGTTGTGGTTTTTAAAATACTGAGTATACAAGTGCTAAGTAAAAAAAACATTGTACCTGTTTCACTAAACATATATAAACATGAAACGAGTTGTTATGCCATTCATACTTCCTAGGAATATCTGCTTTTATAATGAGAGAGTAGACCACGGAGAGTTCACTGTTTTGAACAATTTTGGGGCAAGTGTTATAGACTTCCTCTAATTTGATTGATCTGGTAAACTATCTTAAAGTGGGGAAAACTATTGCTAGCGATCATATGCCCTTCTATTAATAAGTTTTGGGGCTTTTATAATATGGAAAGTGGTAACCAAAATTAGAAATTATTTGATGTTCCTCAGCACCAGTATCATATTTCTTAACAATCTGCAGGCTAGGAATCATCCAGTATCTTATGGCTGCCATCCAGACATGACAAGATCATAGCTGCTTATAGTGGAGAAATGTAATTTTCACATTGTGTAGTGTTGGCTTATTGGAAATCATATTTAGCTTTTTTTTGACACATTACAAAAACAACATAGATTCTGTTCAGTTTGTTACTTTTATATAGACTGTTTGATAATCTGTTGCTCTATTACTTGCTAGAAATACAGCGGCTGTCTTCATGATAAACACCTGTCCACATTACATGCATTCTTGTGCTGCTGAAATTAGTCCACAAAATTTGAAATGCTTTGTTGTTAGGTGGATGGAGAGAAAGAGAAAAAGCCCGTGAAGATAGCTGGGGGCCTCCCCGAGACTCCAGGCCTTCAGAAGATCGGGAATGGGATAGAGATAAAGATAACGATGAGAATGAAAAGGACCGAGAGCTTGACAAAGATCGTGACTTTGATCGGGAAGATCGCTTCAAGCGTCCTAGGTTTTGAATTTATTTGCTTTTAACAATGCTCATAAATTATTTTTCTTCTGTGAATCATTTCCCCTCCAATGCTATGAGGAGTCAAGCACTACACCAGAGAAATCTTATGATAGTTCAGTTGCACCGCATTGAGGAACATAATTGTATGAGTAAGTTCTAAGTAGTGATCAGCAGCCTAAAATACCTTCATAGATAAAGAAAGAAATGTCACAATTCTAAGTTGTTAAAATTTGCTTTGAAGGTATAAGTCACAGAATTGTTCGTAGTTTACTTTAAACACAAATGTAAAAGGGTGAATTAGAATACCAACCTTAAAATCCAGTTTAGTTTTGTTCTATTACAGAGTCATCCCACCTGTGGGGGTCATTACTTAAAATAGGTACATGAAAACCAAAAGTCTCTTCAAGTCTCTAGTGCATTAACCACTAAACCATGAGGTTGGCCTTGGTGAAAACCTTGTATCCCAGACAATGATAGTTCAGTGTTGTCTTTTAAGAACTTTATTTAACATCACTGTAGTTATCTTTGAACATTAAAAAAAAAAGTAGAATATGTAAATAAGAGTATAAATAAAAAAGCAATACGTATCATCAGTATAAATATGAAATGCCGTTTCTAAAATTCTTACCAACCCTTTTCAGAAAAGAACCCACAACCCAGATTTGAGAGATTCAAGGGTTTTAGGATGTGGCTATCTTATATAAACATAATTATGTGAGTGTCATATGACTTTATTAAACATCTACTTTTTTTTCTGTAAAGGTGTGAAGTTGGACACCTCTGAACATTCCCAAAAATTACTGCTGCAAACTCTGTTCCATTTATTGCAATATTTATTCAGGGCATTAAGTATAGATTAATAAGTTATTCTTCTCAAGGCTGGAAACTGTAAGTTAGCTAGAATAATGCAACAAATGTGTTTTTGCAGAATTACACAAAAACCTAAAAGCGAACTCTCAAGTCTATTCTGTCAAAATATCCTAAACAATGGTTTAAAGTTGAACTCTGCAACAGTTCCATTGAAATAGGTTTTAGATCATATAACTGGTTTAATACCAAAACGATCTGTTCTGCGGAAACTGGAATTAAGAATTATTTCTTCTAAAATATTTTATTTGACTAAAGGGATGATCCTGGCTGGAGGAGAGCCCCAGCTGAAGAAACCTCCAGCTGGAGAGAGTCAGGTCGTCGTGATGAATGGGATCGACCTGGTCGTGACTCTAGAGATGACCGGAGTAGCCGTGACCTTCGAGATCGACGTGGTGAGGAGAGAGAAAGGAGAGGGCCACCACCTCCCAGAACAGATCGGGAAGAAAGTAAGATTATTTTCTGTTTAGGTGTTTCATATATAGTGTCAGGGAATTAATGAGGAAGGGGACTCCCATTATCCAGATGTCTGGATAGACTGTATCACTGGATAATTATGGAGATAGCGAACATAAGAAGAGCCCTGCTGGATCACACCAGTGGTCCATCTTGTCCAGCATCCTGTCTCACACAGTGGCCATCCAGTTCCTCTGGAGGGCCAACAACAGGACATAGAGGCCGAGACCTTCCCCTGATGTCTCCTTCTGGCTCTGGGATTCAGAAATTCAGTGCCTCTGAATATGAAGGTACCCCCTCAGTCACTAGTAGCCACTGGTAAACCTATCCTCCATGAATCTCCCTTTCAAGCTGTTTATTGCTGTGACCATCACTACATCCTCTGGCAGTGAATGCCACATTTTAATCACTCTCTCTGTAAAGAAGTATTTCCTTTTGTCTGTCCTGAATCTACCACCTATCAGCTTCATTGGATGCCCTCAAGTTCTTGTATTTTAGAGAGGGAGAAAATTTTCGCTTTATCAACTATCTCTAACCCATGCATAATTCTATAAAATTCTATCATGTCGCCCCTTAGTTGTCTCTTTCCTAAACTTGAGAAGTCCCAGACTCTTCGGCCTATCCTGATAGGGAAGGTCCTCCAATCTCCTAATCATCTTGGTTGCCCTCCTCTGTACTTTTTCCAGCTCTTTCATGCCTTTTTTGAGATATGTTGACCAGAACTGTACATAGTACTCCAAATGAGGCTGCACCATAAATCTATACAGGGGCATTATAATATTGGCCATTTTATTTTCAATCCTTTTCCTAATAATCCTGAACGTAGAGTTAGCCTTTTCCACTGCTGCTGCACACTGGGTTGACACTTTCATTGAACTATCTACTACAACCTCAAGTTCTTTCCCCCTCTCAGTCTCAACAAGTTAGATAAAATGGAACTAGCCAATTACTGCCCAGTGCCAAATTTGCCATGCCTAGGAAAGGGGTTGAGAGAGCAGTTGTTGAACAGCTTCAGGTCTTTTTGGATGAGACGTCTGCACTCAGTCCATTCCACTCCGGCTTCAGGCCTGGTTTGGGGACAGAGACAGCTCTTGTAGCTCGTCTGGACAATATCCGACTGCAGTTGGATCGAGGTGGTTCAGCACTTTTGATCTTGTTGGATCTTTCTGCAGCATTTGATATGGTGGACCTCCGAATTTTCATCCACCATATGGTCTCCCTTGGGATTCGTGGCACAGCCTTCTCTTGGTTTGCCTCATTTTTCCGGGGACACAGTCAGAGGGTGTTCTTTGGGTACAGGAGGTCTTCTGGGTGGCCTTTGGTCTGTGGGATACCCCCGGGAGCAGTCCTGTCCAAAATGTTGTTTTAACATTTATATGTGCCCTCTAGAGGAGCTTTTCAGGAGGATTGGGTTGGTTATCACCAGTATGCTGATGACACCCAGCTCTTCCTCCTGTTGGATAAACAACCAGAAGCAGCTCTCTTCTCCTCTGACCCAGTGCCTGAATGCCATTGTTGAATGGTTGAGGCAGAGCCAGTTGAAACTTAACCCAAGACTGAAGTAATGTGGCTGGGTAAGACTGGACCTGTAGGGGGACTGCAGTTTCCAGCTCTGGCTTGGTTCCAGCTCTTAGTGGACTCCATGAAGAGTCTGGGGGTCTGACCGGATGCCTCTCTTACCTTGGACAAGCAGACTTCTTTCTGTCTATGCCAGGCCCATCAGCTGGCCCCGTATCTGTCCTAGCTGGACCTGGCCACAGTGATTCATGCCACAGTCACCTCCAGAATAGACTACTGCAATTTGCTCTATGCATGGCTGCCCTTGTAGGCGATTCAGAGACTCCAGGTTGTCCAGAATGCAGCTGCCAGGCTTCTGACCGGAACATCTTGGTCTTCTCATATACAGCCTGTCTTGAAGCAGCTGCATTGGCCGCCTACTAGTTTCTGGGTCAAATTAAAGGTGCTGCTTTTAACCCTTAAAGCCCTAAGTGGTTTGGGACTGTCATACCTAAGGGATCACCTCTCCTTTTACAACCCCCCTAAGCAGGTGCAGTTGTCATCTCATGGCCTACTGGTGGTGCCGGGCTCTTGGGTCGCATCTACCATAGTGAGGGCCTTTTCAGTTGTAGCCCCATCCTGTTAGAATGCCCTCTCAGATGAGACCCGGGCCTTGCGGGACCTCCCTAGGTTCCACAGGGCCTGTAAGGCTGAGCTTTTCCATCAGGCCTTTCCCAGTTCAGTGTATTTGGGCGGTTGACACCAGTTCCACAGCTATCAGTTGTAATTGTCGGCTTTTTATACTCTGTATTTTATACCAGGGTCATAGCTAGGTGGAGAGAACACTCCAGCTCTCCCATCTTGGCTTGGAGATTCTAGCATTGGCATATAGACACCTATAATGTGTTTCCCTCACCAATAACCCTCAGCCCCTTAGTCGACACACATGGCCCTCAGTTTCCATCATACCCTCACTCCCAAGTTCTATTATTAGCCTGGGTGTTTACACAATTGTACCTTTGGACTGACTTGTCCTGTACCGGAGGCTCCCCATCTCCTGTCAGCTTCCCCCCTACGATTAATTTAAAAGCCGCTCTGCAACCTTTTTGATGTTCATTGCCAGCAGCCTCATTCCTGTCTCTTGTACAGGTTAGGCTTGTCCCAGAAAGTTCCCCAATGCCTAACAAATCTAAACCCTTCCTCCTGGCACCACTTTCTCATCCTATATTGAGACTTGTCATTCTTTAATTTTTTTCAGGTTTCACACTTGATATTCTTGCAAGGGGGTGTTGTGGAAGTGTTAAGCTTGTGTGTTTATGCATTGCAACTGGAGATGTAACATTTTTGGAAATTTTGAAGCCACAGGGATTTTTTTTTCCAGGAAAACAGAAATTTTGGGGGAGATTGAAATATATGCAGTACATGGCTTTCCTAGCAAACCTAAACATCTTTTTACACACTGAAATGTTGTTGTTTAATAATCTCTTTATTGGTTTTCCAAAATAAACAAACAATCATATACAATGAAGTAACGCTTATTACAACAAAGTATTTCAGCAAACAAAAATAACCTGATAAATTCTCAAATTTTATCTGACTCTAGCCATAATTCAGCATATAATTCTCACCGTTTCCCAACCTAACCTTATAACTGTCCTTAGTGTAGATATTCTTATAGTTATTTTATATTTCTACAATATCTACCAAATTTACTTCTCCTTAATTTGCCATCAACACTTACTGCCTCCTAAACAACCCTGTATTCACCCAGCACATATTTCCTACAATTTGAACCCACATAAACAGAAACAATGATCATGCTTTCCTAATCATATCCAGAAGTGATATTATATAATGTTAAGAAATAAAGCTCAAACTTTATTCTCATTACTACAGCATTATACTACTACAGATATTTTAAATTAATATTTTAAAATAACACTTAACAAAATAATGTTAGCATAAAGTTTACATTTTCTTACTAACTTTCTAGAAATTAATCTAAAGTCAAATGCCACCCAATCAGTAGTCTGACATCAAAAATTCTATCATTTTCCGCCTCATTTCCTTTCTTAGAGACAAAAGTTTCAGCTAGACAACGTCCTTCCCTCTTCCATTCTCTACTTATATTAAGGTTTAACTTCCTTACATTAACATAATTGAATCTTCCCCTTGATCTACTTACAACATTTAAGCTTGTATTACACAAATCATGTTTACCAGATATCTGTGCTTGCTACCCAAAAAACCAAACATCATTTCTCATTTTACACTTACAAAAGAAGTTATTTCACCCCATGATACATATTGTTAAATAGCTTTCTGGGACACAATCTTCTTTATAATCGAAGATAAATGTCTTACCCCTTTATACTCGAGGTACTTCGTTCCCAAGCCTTGCCTGATTTACCAATTCTGTCTTAAGTAATTTGTTCTTTTTGTTGTTTTTCCTTGAAGAGTACTTCACTTTCCATTTGGTTACCACCTTTTCCTCTCCGTGAAATTCTCTTCACATAATCCTTTTTATCTGTCCCACTGTCTTAACTCGTTTTGCAGAGTTTTTAATTTCTTCTCCTTGCCTGGAAACATTCCTTTTCTCTTTCATAGGTGTAAAAAGTCCTGTATCCTTTTTCCTTGGCTATCATCCTGATTTCTCTCAAAAGACTCATAGGTTGGATGGTATAGTGTGGTCTCCTCCTCATTTTTAGGTTGCAAGCCAACGTTTTGAAAATTCTTAATAATATTTTTGCATGCTTCCTCCGCTGCCTGCTGAATCTCACTGATCAATAACTCTTTAAATTGTTCCAGAGTTAGTTGTCCTATTTCTGTGTTTTCCAAATCAATCAGAACAGTTTCTCCTGCTGGGGTTTCTTCATTCTCCCCTTCAGTCACCATTTTCGTTTCATTTAGCTCCACTCCTTTTAGTAGCCGCATATATATTCCAAAATTGGAGATAGTCTCAAATAATCGCTTTAATGGAGGTCTTCAACAGTTGATAAGATAACTTAAACAGACTCATGCTCTTGCCCTTGTTGCATGTTGAATTAGAACAAAAGGAATTTTTTTTTTTTAAGGGAGGTTGTGGCTTGTGTAAGACACGGCAGCCATGCTTGCTCCTCCTCCTGCTTCTGCATCGGGATAGTCGGTCTCTTCCCCGCTAACCACCGTTGCGGGGGGGGGGGACCGGACAAGTCTCCTGCACCTGGTCTCCCTCCAGGAGGTCCAGGATGGAGCCCAACATGACGGGAGGTCGGGGGGGGGGGGTCTCCAAAAAGAAGCCAGAAAGGTGGGGAGACTCGGGAGCGGCCCGAGAATCACCTGGGATGCTGCGCCATTTTCACTAAAATATTGTTTATAACTTAGCATACATAATTATACTGTTTCTCATATTTATATGCAATTTTAAAGATATGAATGTCTTCATTATCTATAAAAAAGGTTGCAGGTACACCAAATACTCAACAAAGAGCTGCAGACTGCAACACTGTATGGTACCGTAGCACATGTATCTTAATTTTTGCTACCTGAGAGGCAGGAAAATATAAAAGGTGAAGGTAGAGAACAAATTTTGTAGTAAACAAAGTGTAGTATTTGATATTAAGTTAAACTTTATAATATTGAAAACACTGAACTGTTTGACAATGTATTATCATTGAACACTTTCTAGCATGTTTCTGTTGCCAAAATTATTTACATTTAAACAAAAACTATCCTTGAAAATGTATATGTCTGCAGTATATAATGTAGATTGTCCTACATAAAAAGGTCCTACTACACATTTTGAGTAAAACCTTGCCTTTCATCTCACTCATTTCAAAAGGAAAGAAAGAAGTGCTTCCCCAAATGTCCTGTTTTTTCCACTGGATACATTCTAAAGAGAAAATATTTAATTGAAGTTTGTTTTCAGTGCTCCCCTAAATTGCCGTTTTTCTATTGGAAAATTTTCTTAAGTTCTCAGACTCTTTCATGCTGTACATTTAGTGTGAAAACCTTGCCTTAAAGAATCACTGCTTAAAAGAGAAAGCAAAGGTGGTTGATTTTTCCAGTGTTCCCCCAAATTTCCCAATATTTCTGTCTGAAAACGGGGGGGGGGTTCTTGAGGGAAGGGGGGCTTTAAAGAAAAATTCAGTTTCCCCCCCTGGATCTTCACATCTTTAATTGCAACAAACCATCAACTGCAGCTGTGGCTGTCTCTTGTACAGGACAGGAAATGAGAAAAGATAGAGTATTATCTTTTTTGCATTCTTAGTGAGCTCCTGGAGACGGGGCGATGACAGAAGGGAAGAGCGCGAAGAACGTGAAACAGTTCGACGACTGCCTGGTCCAGCTACTCCTCCTGTCTCAAAAGAGAGAGACAAAGATGGTGAGAAAGAGAAGGGAGCCTGGAGAACCGAAAAAGAGAGAGAATCCCTTCGTCGCACTAAAAATGAAACTGATGAAGATGGTTGGACCACTGTGCGACGTTAAGTTTAAAACCTAAACATGGTTTTAATATGGTGTTTAGCATTGATTTGAGAACAGAATATAACATTGGTGCTTTAACACTCTCAATTGGTATTCTTTAACAAAATTTTCTAGGTAATGTGGAGGCATGAAATTCTATTACTTGTATGTAGACTGATCATGCACAGAACTTGCAATTAAAAGTTGGAAATTAAATACTGGTTATGCGAAACTTCAAATGTTGTATATGTCACAGATCACTTGGTGGTAAGAAATAATAATTAAAATAACCCTGTAGGTATCTTTGAATGGCACGTATATCTGTCAAAAACAAACCTAATCTTTATTTTGTGTAGCTCTGAACTTGGGTATAGTCTGCAAAGCATATATTTATAATTATATAAATTCATGCTTTGAAAGGACCATATAGTCTAAAACGGACATAAGAAAGAGCACCTTCCTGTTTGCGTATTTTTATGGCAAGAGGTTTTTTTGCTGGTGATAATTCACACATTCAATATGTGTTAATTTAGATTGCATTCAGTAATTGTTATGGACCCCTAGCTACACTGGGATTTTTTTTTCCCTTTTGGAGATTTCACATGAATGCATATACTTTTCAAGCCCGTTTGCAGTCTTTATTCTGACAGTGAATGTCACTGCAGTGTCAGAAAAACAAAATGTAAGGCTTTAAAATGAAAGCATATTGCTGAGCCCCCCCGGTTGGCAAAAGACTATCTGCTTTTTCTGTTATGAATAATTCATGCCTTTTGAAGCATTTCTATATAGTGTCATATTTCAGATATGTGGTCTGGAGGAACTGCTTACTTTTTCCTTACTTCCCAGTTTCTTGTCTTTGGGGGGGTAAGTGCTTTACCTTTAAACAAGTGCTTTGTAGTAAGGGCTGGGTTGACTTCAATGGTGTGTGTGTGTGAAGTAGCACATGAATGATTGTTTTTAATTGAAGCCAACACAGAACTTGCTGCTGTGTGTTAACTTCAATGATAAATAAACTTAACAAAATAAGGCACTGTTTTGCTGTGGCCTCTTAATTAACATTGCAACTTTGTGTGGTCATAGTCATGAGCTGGTGTGCTGTAGCGGTTAGAGTGTCAGACTAGGACTCGAGGCAATGAGGGTTAAATCACTACTCTGCCACGGAAGCTGGCTGGGTGACCTTGGGCCTCTTACAATCCCCAAGTGTAACCTACTTCACAAGGTGGTTATTGTGAGGATAAGGCGGAGGAAGGGAGAACAATGTGATAAGCCAGTGTGGGCCCTTGATTAGGGAGGAAAGTGCAGTAATAATATAATAGTCCACATGGAGTTATTGCTGGTCATCAGGGTGGTGTGGTTAAAGCACACATGACTTAGGCGGGCAGAAGCCATGGGAGATGTGACCTTCTCAGTGTGCTTTCAGAGTAGCTGCGTTGTTTAATGATAAACTCAACTCTCTCTGCTTCAAGGAATACGGCCAAGATTTTGGTCACTGTGGCCTGGTTTCAGTTACAGGATTTCCATCAAAGAAAATATGTTTAAGTTAAATGTCTATTGAAAGTTCAGGGACATGACATAGCTGGGTAGACATCAGGAAAATGCTCCCCCTTACTCTTACAAGTTCTTGTTTTGAACACTTAAAAAATTTCTTCTACGTATTTTTCTTTGAAGGAATAAGAAGTTCCTGTGTGCAAATTAGATGCAGGTCTGTCTTACACTTGGCATACCTGTTTCATATGAGGACTTTGATTCCATTTCTTCCTAAATTGGCGGAAAGCTCTCTCAGCAGTAAAGTGCTTCTTTGGGAAGTAGCCTTCTGTTCTGTAACAGATTTACTCACTAAAATGTTTTCAGAGTCATACAGTGTGCATAATCTGCCAGGTTGCTAATGTGTCTGCAGCTTCATCTTTCAAAATACTCTGCAGGGGAAGTTACTTCTTTGGTAAAGGTAAAGGTTCCCTTGCTCGAAAGCCAGTCGAATCCGACTCTAGGGTTGCGGTGCTCATCTCCGTTTCCAAGCCGAAGAGCCAGCGCTGTCCGAAGACGTTTTTGTGGTCATGTGGCCGGCGTGACTAAACACCAAGGCGCACGGAACGCTGTTACCTTCCCACCGAAGTGGTACCTATTAATCTACTTGCAATTTCTTGCTTTCGAACTGCTAGGTTGGCAGGAGCTGGAACTAGAGACGGGAGCTCACTCCATCTTGCGGCACCCAGGTCTCGAACTACTGACCTTCCACAGCCTGCAGTTCAGTGTCTTAACCACTTGAGCCACTCTGCAGGGGAAGTTACTTCTTTGGTACCTGGAACTAAATTACAGATCTAGATCTGGATCCAAAGAACTGCACAACTGTTGTTCTCTATGTGTGTGCATGTGTGTGCAAGAGCTGTTTTTTTTCCTGGGGTGTGTGTGTGTGCTCTTAACCAGCACCTGACCATGCAATATTAGGAAGCCACTTTTAAACTGGCAAGTTTCAAAGGCAGCATGAGGGCCTGTTTAGTTCTGCTGGCTGGGTTTTTTTGGTTGTTTTTTAAATTCCAACAGGTATGTACAAGCCTCTGGGTGTGTCTAAAGTAGCTTTCTAGCTATTGTCCCTGTTTTGCAAAGGAATTGTACAAAACTGAATTCCATATTAATCTTCAGAATGAAGCCATGAGTTAGCACTGCAGAATTGTTCTGTTTGAGCTCACTTCTGGAAGTGAACAGTTTTAAGCAAAACTTTATTTTCTGTTCCCTTTGGATTTCATGGACTATATTTACACATAAAAATTGAAAGATTCCAAGATTCTGCACATAATAGACTCATTCAGAAGCGCACACAGCCTTCACAAGCAATCTCATACACTACACTTTTCCAATGCACAATGCATTTTATGGGAAGAAGAGTAGGACTTGTGGAAGGCTGCCATGCCTAGCTAGTTTAGGTAAGGGTCTTGCAGATACTTTTAATTAAACCTCAAAAGTGGTCAGAATCTTCAAGGCCTAGGACTGGCTTAAAGGACCATCTCTTCCTAAATGCCCTTGTGTGTTAACCACAGTTAAATGCTACCTTCTCCCCTGGTTAGGGTAGCTTGCCTGGGAGAGCCTTTGTTTTTTGTGTCCTAGTTCCAACTGTATGGAGAGGGCTTCCTGAGGAAGTGAAGAGGTCATCATCTCTATATATTCAGGAGGCACTGCAAGGCACTACTCGTGTTTTCTAGATCTTTTAATGGGATGCAGGCATTGTTTGGGGTTTGACTCTTGAGTAGGTAAACCACCATGAGCCATTGGGGAATAGGGGGATACCAGTATGCTAATAAATATAGTTTTGGGCCTAATTTTGCTTCATCAAAATGGAGTGTGAATTCTGAAGCAAATTAACAAATGTATCATGAACAGCTATAGGTTAGCACTTATTTTAACTGTTATGCTTCCCATAAGTGCTAAATGTTATAAGTGGGCATTCAAACTAGATACAGTAGCATCTCTTGAGCATTTCCCATCTAAGCAGCCAATGTACATAATTTTTGAAATGCTATATAAGCTAAAATGTAATGCAACTTACTTTTAAATACTTCAGTATTTAGTGGTAACTGAATGCTCACATTTCATGGCTCTGTGAAGGTGTGAAATTTGGCGCTATGTCCAATTTTGGTTGTACCAAACTAGTCCCATACCAGTAAATGTTCTATCACTGAATACCTGATGTTCTCGATTAGCGGAAAGTTTGTCAGTATTTTGTGCTGTTCTGGGAATTGTTCAGTATAATTGAGCTTGTCTCCCTGACTGTATTTTCTGTTAGGGCTTCCCTGCCAGTGGAAGGGGACGTGGGAAGTAATTTTCACCAGTTCCACTACAGGCCCCCAACTTTGCCACCCAGTGCTGCTCTTGAGGATTCACCAACCACTCGGCAGGGTTTCATGGAACATGCCAGACTGCAGTAGGAGGTTGGAAAGTTTCTTTCCACAAGTATTGCTGTGCCTGCATAGCATAGGATCCAAGCCTTACTTTGGAACCATCTCCTGAGAGTGGTGTGAAGTGCCTCATATTATACAAATACCAGATTGTTTGATTTGTAAGGACATACAGAAGAACTGGATCGTGGAGGAGTTCTAGTGGCCACTCCTGGAATAAACTAACCAGCATGTATAATTGCATTCCACCATACTATGTCCTGAAAGAAGTGGTTGTTTAGGTACTTGTGTGATGAGTTGTGCATAGAGTCCACAAACAGGCACTTGATGATCACTATCTGAACGTATCAGGCAGCCACAGGAGAAGCTTTCTGGCCATTGGCTGAGGCCCAAATGAGATCTGCTGACAGCCATTGCCTCTCTTTAAACACATAACTAATCCTGTAGAAGTACACGGTTTGATTAACACACACGCACACAGAGTGCATTGCAGAATCCCTTTCCCTTCCAAGCTTCTGTCCCCAAAGTCTTGATACTAAAACCTCATTCAATGAAAAGTTTAAGCAATAAATAAATGTGTTAGGGAACATTCCTGTTTAAATATGCAGAATTGCAATGGTTACATATAGTCAGTCCTACTGATGATGGCTGCAGAGGAGAACCAAGGATGCAAAATTATATTTTTTTATACACTTAAAGGTTACAGTGATGGCTCATTCTTGTCCACCAGTTACATGGCACTATCAGTCTGCAGGCACGGAGTCAAACTGGATATGAGAGGAAAACATGAAACTGCTTTATACTGAATCAGACCCTTGGTCTATCAAAGTCAGTATTGTCTACGCTGTATGTTTAATGTGTGCCTACCCTATTTGTGTATTAAGTACAGAAGGTGCATGAGTAGGGTTACTTTTATTGTAAAAAGCACATGGGAAAGGAGTGGAAGTGTTCCCCTCCTCCATTTGTTTCCGAGGCTGGGGAGGAGAATGCCTAACACACAGCCAACAATAAAGACTTTTCTCCTCATACATTGTAAGAAGTAGCTCTCACACACACCTACTATTTCATAACTTAATAGGGTAGACACCCAAGCATGGGCTGGCCCTGTCAATTTCATTTGGCTTTTACCTTAACTGCCCTAAACCCTCATAAGTTTGTTTCAATGCAGCTTGGCTTCTAGGCAAGCATACTTAGGAGCGGGGGTGGTGGTGGTGGTAGGATACAGAATCTACATTCTGGAAATATTCCTGTTAGTAGCTTGTATTTTGTTTTTGGAAAACAGTTAAGCACCTAAGACGGCTTTATTATAATGTCACTTGAAACTGCACATCTGTAGCCCGGGTGCTATTACAGATAGGTACCACTCACCTGCTCAGGACACCTTTTCAATGTTTTCTGGGCAATCAAGCCCTAGACACAACATGTTCCAAAAATTTGCACAGAACTGGTTATAGAAGGTGGCTGAGGAGCATGCATGCATATCTCAGATTGCTCTCTTCATGACAAGCTTGTATCCTTTGTAACTGAAGAGGACAGTGGCAGTTTTCATAAAAAGGTTTGCAAGTTCCACTAGCCCTTGTAAAAAAAAACCCTCTCCTAGACGTGTACCGCAAAGCAACTCAGTTTTTACCAGCATCCACCTACAATCCAAATTGTATTGCTAAGCAAGTTTGCTTAATGGATTCAATTTGATTCTGCCTGATCTGTGCACATTTACTTGTAACCAAACCACACTGACACCCTGACCGAATCACCTAGGCTAGTCCGATCTCAGAAGCTAAGCAGCATCAGCCCTGGATAGTATTTGGAAGGAAGACCACCAAGGAAGTCCAGGGCTGTGATGTAGGCAACGGCAAACCACCTCGGCAAAACCCCATGTAGCTGCTGGAAGTCAGCTGCTACTTGATGGCACTTTCCCCCACCAGACCTCACTGACAGTGACATCTGCTTCCAAGTCATTATAGGAACACACTGCAAACTAACAGCTTCCCTGTTCCCCAAAGGTCATTTACCTTGGAAATACTAAATTTTATTCTAGTCATGGCTACAGATACTCGTATTCTTGAGAGACATGCCCACAGTGGCATACTGATGAGGTCAACACAGAATCTATTTTGGAAGGCGGAGGGCGGAGAGAACATTCATTGGCTCAACTAGTGGAGGGGAACTGCTGTGTGCATGTGTGTCCCCTCCCACCAAGTGCTTAGGCTGTAGAACTGAAACATCAACACCCTAAATACACTGCAAATAAGCTTGTTAATGTACTTTGAACATCAGACCTCCACCCAAAAGAACGTAGTTAACTGCTGGTATTGTCTTAAGGCAGCATTTTTAGGGTTACGCCCAACACAGAGCCTACTACAGCCTTGTGTGATACAAGTGTGCACTTTGGGCTACTGCTGAACATGTATGTAATCACTGTAGAGAGACGTACAGGCTTCTCCATACACAAATGTATTCTACATTGGAAAACATCACACAGCACTGCTACTGCTAGAAGGCAACAGGAAACAGCCATTAGTCCAAATCAGAAAGGTTTTGTGTTTTGTTTTTAAAAACCCTGGCTGAAATGATCCCTTTAGTATCTTAAGGAAAGGCACCACAGAGTTCCTTCATCACACTGGCTCTTAGCTCCTGAACAGCAGAAATAAGTCAGTCCTCTACCAAAACCATTCAAATCCCCCCCCCCTTCCCCATAGCTGTTAGGCATCTCAGCCTGCAATCCTCTCTCTGGTTTCACTTGGCCCATCATCACTCACGGCCAGACCGGTTAGCTACTGCTGCTCTATGCAGCAATGTTTACTTGAAACATGGGCTTAAGCATACACAATATACATGCCTGCCTGCTTTACCCTGTGTTTTTGTCATTTTTTAAAAAAACTTGCATACCAGAGGAGCTACCGCAACAAGCAGTATTTTCTTTGGATATATATTACTGTAACAGAAGTGAAAGAATGTTAGCTACAGTGTGTCAGGATGATTCTTTGCTTTCACAGAAGAAACTGGAGCAGCTCAACAAGGCCTGTGGTCTGAAGAGGTTGCTCTCACCTCCAGGGCTCTTGACATTTTATCATTTTAAGGAAGCAGAGGCTAGGTCTGGGGGAGGAAAGAACAGACTGTAGTCAGATCTCTGCAACATCTTTACTTCCACTGCGTATCTAACAGTTTGACAAAGGATCCTCAGCTGGGCTACAGAGAGATAATCAGCATTTAAAGAAAAGCAGTGGGGGCAATGGGAAAACTCATTTTTGGAATGGTGAACCAAAAGAGAAAGATGCACTCCAAGGAGGACTTAAACACCGGGGGGGGGGGGATTAAAAGTGAACCTATACCATAAGAAATCCCTTCCCCCAACAAACTGTAACCTCCAGTTCCAACTCTTACAACCAATATTGCTTGTAGACGAACAGTAAAGACATCAATAGAAACAAAATACCAGTCCAATACATTGAGTTTCCCCTCAGCATGCCTTCAGCCTTGCTTCTTAAAAAAGTCACCTAAAAATCTTCATTTTGGTCATGTTTATGTTAGCTGCACGGTTGTACACCTTAGTGGGCTCTTTCGGATCCTGTAGCAGTTCTTTTGTTCAAGGGGGTGTGTGCTCCCTTTCCTGCCCAGGATTAATATCCAAGAAATCCACTGAATTAATATCCACTGAAGAGTACTCAATTCAATTTAAAAATTAGATATGATTTACAGTAAACAAATACAGGACTTCTAAAACTTGTGTAATTCTTATAGAGTTAAATTCAGGGGCCAGATTCTCTGGCGACTGTATACAAACTAGAAATTATACTTGATTATTTGATACGTAAATCAAGAACATTTTTCTCTGTACATTCTACCGTCTCCAAGTTTAAATATATTAAATGTTAAAGAGACATCATTCGATTAAAGATTTTTTTAAAAAAAAGAAAAACTCCAAAGGAAAACGGTCCCGTCCCCCTCCCCCTGAAGAGGGCACGCGCGCTCAAACGCCTTTCCCCCTAATTAAGAGAAACATTTAATTTTGGGATCCGATGTGTCCGCAGCCACGCAGAATCCTCCCCCAGGCTCCGCGCAGCGCCCCCTAGCGGAGCTTCTTGCCCAGCAGATGCCTGGCGCTTTTGAGCGGCTGTTTGGGGGCGCTGCCGTGCATTTTGGACAAGGGGCAGTACTTGATCGTGTGCGCGTTGTCCCCGCTCGCCCCGCACAGCGGGCATGTGTACCGCCGCAGCACCGGGCATAAGACCCTGCCGTCGGGTCCCTTGAGGATGTGCGTGGTGTACAGGGCCACGGCTTCCTTGTTATTCCGGCAGAAGACGCAGACTTGCAATTCCGGCTTCAGGAGCCTCGAGCCGCTTTTCTGGGGCGCCTGCAGCCGGCTGTTTACTACCAAGCGGCCCCCCCACGCGTGGGGCGAGCGGTCCCGCTCCAGGTGATCCGCGGAGCAATTAAACACCACCGAGCCCGGGCTGGCGCGGCCAGAGAACGGGCTGAAGTCGGCGAAGCGCTCCTCCAGCAGGCTTTCGCCGTGGTTCAGGTGGTGGTGGTGGTGGTGGCCGCACAAATCGAAGTCGGGTAGGTCCAGCGAGTTCTCGAAATAAGGGGGGCCCACTTCTTCTTCCTCCTCCTCCTCCTCGTCTTCCTCCTCCTCCTCCCCTTCCTCCGCCGCCTGGACCTGCTGCACGGTGGCTGCCACCACCACCGAAGAGGGCCCGGTCCTGAAGCCCTGCTCGTGGCTCACCGCCTTGGTGATCAGAGTGGCCAGCCCCAGGTAATCGTTCCAAGAGTTAAACGCGTTCCCGTAGGCGCCGTGGCTCTTCGCGCCGTACCTGCTGGCCCCTTGCAAAAACTCCACGGGCTGCTGGTGGTGGTGGTGCTTCTCCAGCTTGCCGGGGTGGAAAGTCTCCATCGGGGAAAAAGGGGGCGGCCGGGGGCGGGGAGAGAGCCCCGATCGCTCTCCAGGACAAATCTGCGCCTCGCTCTTCCCGGCGATCTCCGGAATCAACAGCGCTCACCGCGCTCCAAAACAGCAGCCGCAAACTCCGCCTCCTCCTCTGTGAGCCCTTTAGTGCTTGCAGCTGCTGAAATAGATACATGCGGAGGGGGCGGGAGGGACGGAGGCGGTGCAGCCCAAGGGCCGCGCTCTAATTGGCCACCGGCCAAAGCTGCCCCGCCGTCCGGGACGCTTCTTATTGGCCGAGGAGGGCTGAGCACCCTTTCATCTCTTACAGCTGGGCATGGACGTTGATTTGGAGAGCTTTGATCTGGCGCAGGTACGAGGCCCAAGAATGCGTGGATTAGAAAGGCAGGAGACCTTGTCTTCTCAAAGGTTACCAAATAAGGCAGAGCCTGTCCACAGGCACATAGAAGCATAGCATTTTCCTCTTACAATGGAATGACTTAAAACAGAAGCCTTTCACACACATGAGGGCAGATACCATGCCCTATTATTTCACCACAGATCGTTCTGAGTCATGATAGCCAGGAACAGAGAAGAGTATCTGTGCAGCAATTAGGGTTGTCCCTGTTGTGTTCAGTTTCAACAGACAGAAATCGTTATAGTGTAGAGATGCAGGGATGAAAAAAGCATCACTTGTTGATCTTTGCCTTTTGTATCACTGTTAAGAATCCCCCCACATCCGGATGCTGAACAATAGCCCATGAAATGATCGTGAATTGATTGAAGTCGTCCCCTGTTCTACTTTCACTTCCTTTTGTCCTCCTACAGCTGTGCCTGTGACAGTGTTCAGAAGGCTCTTGCAGGTTACATCCTCACCCCTCCGAGAAGCTGCTAAGCTGCCTTTAGGAACTACCTGCAGGAAACATCTTGCTCACCTTGACAGTCACAGAGCCAAGGCAGGGGCCCCTGGGATGCTGGTAGGCCTGATAGTTGCCCAGTTTGCTTCTGTGACTGGGCCCTGCCCTCATAGGCAACAACTGGGTCTTTGAGCCGATGGGCTCCATGGATTCTCACTGACCCACTGTTTGCTTGTGGATTGCAAGCATTTCCCTGCAAAATGTCACAAGAAAAAACATTAGATTATTTAAAGTGGGGCCTCCGTACCATTCACAGATTACATGAGATAATGGCAATTCTTATGCGTGGACTTTTCTCCTGCTGATTATTCTGCTGTTCCTTTTATGCACATCCAGGCACACACGTTTTCTGCACGTCTCCTTTACTACCAAACAAAATGTTAATGATTCTTCCTGGCTTGATTAAGCATCAGCCTGGAATCCATACCCACTTTTGCTCACCTGCATCATAGTTCCCTGACTGTTATACCTATATGACCATCTTCCTTTTCCTGTTTTCTTTAAACATCCTGTTTGTCTTCACACCTGAAGAATAGTTTAATTCACCCCCTGATGAAAATACATGAATAGCATTGGATTCATGTTTATTCAAGAATGAGTGCCTGATTTCTGTTTTGTTTTCAAGCTCTGTAGGAAAAACATGTGTAAGATTAAAAGAGCAATCCTAAACAGAGTTGCGCCCTTCTAAATCTATTGCATTCAGTAGGCTTACAATGCCATAACTCTTCAAGGGGTACAACCCTGTAAATTGAGGTGCATGTGGAAGGGGGAACGAAAAAGGGCTGATTCCCTTCTGAAATCACACTGCTCTTAAACTGTAAACAAGCTCCATGGGGAAAGGGGAGGAGGCAGAGGTCATTTCGGGGGGGATTGCGGGGGATCGCAGTTCCCCCAAGTGAGGTACGGGGGCGGGGCACATGACGAAGCCCCGCCCCCTGCTTCCGGCCGTCCTGCTTCCGGCCCTCATTCAGCCAGGAGGAGGCAGGAGAAGAGGGAGGGTAAGTTGCTTCCTCCCTGCCTCTCCCCACCCCTGCCTGCCTGGGGCCAGGGAGGGCCTTCGCGGGGCTTCCTTGCACTCTCGCTGGTCTTGCAGGTCCACCGCCGGGCCCCTCATGGGGCTCGGCAGTGGAGCTGCAAGGCCGGCGTCGGCGGTCGGGACCGTTGGGGGCGGGGTGTGTGGCCTTATGACACACTTCCAGTGATGTCAGGGGGTGTGGCCTTATGACACACTTCCTGTGATGTCAGGGAGTGTGGCATATGCTAATGAGTTATGCTAATGAGTTCCCCTAGCTCTTTTTCTACGAAACGACCCCTGGGAGGAGGTCATCCTTTATTTTGTCTGATAAACAGAGAAGTGAAGAGCAGTCCTTTATAGTCCCATGAACAAGCAATTCAGAAGCAGAATAATTTGCTATTATATTTTTTAAAAAGGAGCATACATGTATCTGCTGCCTCTTTGTTTTCTGCTCGCTCCATGTCAAAAGTCCTGTTTATTGAAGTTGGAAACTGCTTCATGGGACTTTCTCCTATAGAGTTCCCAGATTCCATTCCACTCCCAACCTACTTAATATGAATATGGCTTCATATTACATAGGTTGGGAGCAGAATGGACGGTCATCACAATGTGGGTGACGCTCAACCCATTTCTCTTTTTCATCTTAGCCAGGTAAGCAGACTCTGTGGATTCAGCACCCGAGAACACAAGATGCCAATGACTATTTTTTGCATGAAAATTCCACAAAATCATTCTCTCCAAATCTTGGCCTCAGCTTGCTGTTTGTAGCAGTTACTTCCAAGAGGGCATGACCCAGCTGGGAAACCTCTTACTTTGGATCCCTTATGAAATGCTTTGCAGCCAAAAATATGGGAAGCCTGTTGGGCCATGATGCCTGAAAAAATAAAGTTGACGGTTATCACTGATCTTGCTGCTTGTTGTGTCTCTGCAGCTCTTGACACAGAGACACACAGAGGCTGTTATTGGTGGGCGAGAGAAGAGAAAATCAGAGAGCCAACTTTGCAACTCTGCCGCATTTTATAACATTGTAGTTGCACCCTCCAGCTAACTTCAGTCGAAGTAAATCCTAAACCATCCCTGGAATGAGGACTGTGCAGCCATGGACAACTCTGATGGCAGCAGCCACTGAGAGGCAGGATGGTGGCGTCCTTCTTCTGGCCAGGAGCTGCTGTGACTTCTCTGACCAGCCACAACAGTGTTGGTGGTTGGGGGCATGGCAGTTGTGCTGTCCCTCAACTCCCAGAGAACTGTCAGGACTCAGCTCCCCATGGTGACGTGAGAGGAAAGGAGTTAAGCCAGAAGGCCATCTAGGCTAAACCCCTGCAGGAAGGACTGAGCTATGCACCCAGCATGTCACTTTTCATAAGCAGAATACAGATGCAGAGAGATACCTTCAAAGAAAGGAATTCCAAAGATTTGTGCAAGCCACCAGGCACATGGTGCATTATGTAAGGCCATGTCCCATCAATTCTACATCTCCTGGAGTTCAGTGGGGCTTGTGTAAAAATTCCTCCCTGAACTCCAGATATGGTGACTAGTAAACCCTGATTGTGAGCAAAATTCAGTCACTGAATAACAGCAAAGGTAGCTGAATATCCAATTTTTAGCCCTGATTGGGGCAACATTAGAGAGCTCTGTTCGTATTTCCATGTTCCATAAACTTCCCCTTCCCTACAAAGTGGTGATCCAGAGTTACAGAAATAAAATCTGGGACTACAAAATATTGCTTAGTGCCATGGATGGATTATATTCAGGTAATATTATTCTTGACATCACACAGGTAATATCTGAAAACTATACATATAAAGCTTGGAGGTTATCTTGCAGGGTTTACTGCACTAAGGCGGGGTTAACTACATCTAAGTATTTGTACCAGATTAACCGATATATGAAGTATATGCATTTGTTTGAGTTCACTAACTTAATGCTTGAAATCAAAATTCAGTCTTTCTAGACATCTCCACTTAAAGGGTTTACGGAACACCAATATGTGGATGTGGTAATAGGCTGGGAGAGAGCTAATAAAATGAAAGACTATGGCCTGGGGTAGAGCATTTGCTTTGCACACAGAGGGTCCTGGGTACAATCCCATGCATCTCCAGTTAAAAGGGTCAAGTAGTAGTAGTTGTGAAAACCTCCATCCGACACCTAGAGAGCTGCTGTCAGTCAGAGCAGACAAGACTAACTTTAACAGACCAACAGCCTGACCTCACTATAGACAGCTTCATGTGTGTGCACATTCACATGAAGCCCAACCCAGATAAGACAAGGATGCTGTTGGCAGGTGTGAGTGCTGGTCAAGGTGTTGGGAGACAGCCAGCTCTGGATAGGGTTGCAGTTAGATCCAATCTTAAAGACAGAGAGGCAAATCTCCACCTTACTTGTAGCACCTTTTTCCAGCTTCGACTGCTTTGCCACCTAAAAGCCTTTCTCAAAAGGCAGGCTCTAGCCATACTGGTACCTATGCTGATAATCTCAAAATAAGATTACTGTGATGTTCTCCATTGGGGGGGGGGGGCTGCCTTTAAATAGTTTGGAAACTTCCACTGGTTAAGAACACAGCTGCCCTTTTTATTGGCTGGCTGGGGTTAGTTACTGTCAACATACCACCCTGAATTTTAAAAGATCTCTGTTTTCTGGCTCAGTTCAAAGCACCTGTTGTTAGATGCCTCAAGCTCCTTTTGGGGAGGTGAGCTGAACTATTTAAAAATAATGTAAGAAATAAAAATAAGAACACACCAAACACACCTATTAACAGCCAAAGATTATTGTGCGCCAGAAGCAAACAGCAGAAAAATTATCACAGTGCTTCAGACTGGAGACATAAAATACCCTTTGTGAGACAAATGGAATTCTGAAATGTTTTTATCACCAGTTGCAATATATAAAATACTATTATTGCTTTCCAGCTCAATTGGGTGGCTTGCTGTGCGCAGCAAAGTGGGCTCGGTTTCCTCTTTCAGAGGTGATATTTCCTTCACTGTTGCTAGGACAACCTTGATTCCTAGCCCTGACACGAGCATCCCTTGTAATTAAATACAGATTACTGTGTATTATTGGGATTTAATCAACTGAAATATTAAACATTGTCAAAGAACTCTTAGGACAGGAGCCTGAGAAACTAAGGGGAAAATCATCCCTCCACTGCAGCTGATGAGAGTTTTGCAGTCAAGTAGCTAGAGCTAGTTTGCATCACAGTTGTGGCATTAAGT